ATTTCAGACAGATGATAAATGATACATTGATAAGGCACTTATTCATAAAATTTTGACAAAATGCTATTTTTGCATTTGTTTAAATCAAAAGCCTATATTTGCCTCTTTCTCCACATCTCACTTTTGGACTTAATCYTYGTTTCGAWGTGTTGGGTCAAATATGCCTAAAACTGRATATTTTGCTACTAAAAGGCAATGCCATTGAGTAAACTTATCACTTTTCATTATGCTGAGAACACTATTCCCACAGTGAAGCATGGCGGTGGCAGAGTCATGATGTGTGGATGTTTTTTTATCTACAGAAACAGGGAAACTGGTGAAAGCTGAAGGAAAATTGTTTTGCATAAAATATGAAGAAATTTGGAAACTTGTTCAAGTCTTCCAAACATTTGAGACTAAACTCCCCGCTGAAGCTCTACAGAAAACAAAGATTTGGCAGGTGTTAATAGTTATGTATGTTTTATATTTTTCTTTTTGCCTTATTTCTTGATTGTTTCACAATAAAAGAAAATGCATCTTCAAAACGGTTGTGTTGTTTAAATAAGAAAAATATAAACACACCAAAAATTCCTTACATATTCTGGGTTGCAAGGCCACAAAACAGAGAGAATGTCAAAGAGCCTGAAGATTTTAGCAGCTACCTGTGTGATATTTAGATATGTCACAGTTTTGCACAAGCTACTTGTGTTTTTATCATGTACATATGATGATCTGATCTGTAAGTATTTTGATAAACTGCATGTCAGAGGTTTWTAATAGCTGTGCAGCCAACGTATCTTCATGCTATTACGTGTTAAACAAATTACACCAGGGACTGTGTGACAGCATGAGTGGAGATGTAAAAAGATGAAAGAGGAAAGTCTTCAACACTGATTCATTGCTTAAGTAAGTAAAGTTTTAAAAAATCAAGCTAAAACAAACTGAACAGTCTGGATTTGAAAGCTTAAAGCACTTGTGAAGGCTTTGTTGCAGTTACAAATCAAAAAGTTTTGATGTTTAGTGAGCGACTGTTCTTTGCCTCTTCAAATCTTTTTTGTTCAGTTTTGGACATTTTTTTTCTGCTGTTTTTGAGAGCCAAAAAAAATGTTCATGTTTGACCAAAGTGCATTCAGATTATAATCAGTGTATCTGAAAATCTAAAAAAGCTTTAAAACAGTATGTTAACAGAAAAGAAATGACAGCTCCCTGTCACACCATGAATAAAATTAAACTGTTTTTCTTAAAAAATAAAGAAATAAATCCCCCTGTACCTTGAAATAGCAGCATGCAACTTGTCTTGTTTTGTGCTTGTTGAGGTGTTGGCATTAATAAACCTCACCGTGTTGCTGATACCAGAGATCCGACAGATGACCTCGGGTCATCCCAGCTTCATTGCAATTTACTCAAAAGGCTCTTTTGTTCCRTAATCACCACAATGATCAAAGCTGCTCTTTGTTGTCACTTTTTAAGCAAACAGTCTAAACAGCACATCTCTACAGCTGCATTAAAGTGTTTAATCAAAGCTCATATTCTTTTTTTTAAATAAAAATATCCAAGCATTTAGGCCAAAATCAAACTAAATCCRGAAAGATGGGTTTGATGATTTCAGATTTCTTTTTTTTTTTTTTT